ATGATGACGACAATGAACGAGAGAATCAGTAGTATGAAATTGGCGGTTTCATCCACGTTTCTTAGTATTAGTGTACACATACACACACACATACACACCCGTAGGGAGTTAAGGAATCTTCCATCGGGCGCGTCCTCAGGTGGCGGATAGAGGAATGCCCTCACCGGTGCACGCCGACGGTTAAGTGGGAAATAAAATACCACTCGTGGACCAAAACCCTCAACGATGACCGCTTCACACATGGCATGGATACCAAACACGGATTGGAACACAGCAATGGGCTGGCGTCTACATCCAGTGGGACCTGAGTAGGCAAATTGATACCTTGCAGAAATGGCTTTCACGCTAAGGCTGTAGTCGTCCCCGTCCTGATAAAACCTTGGCAGGCCTCAAGGAACGCTCAACGCTTCGTTACCATTAGCCTGGTGGTGTAGGTTCGGGTGCAGGTTACCTCCTGATTAACACTGATCCGGCTCTGAGCACATGTCCCCATAAGGGCTTGTGCCAACCCTAGCATGGCCTCACTGCTCGCATAGACAACCATGGGATTATAAGTGACTACACATCAGAACGTTGATATCGACCTTGAGGGGGGACCCAAAAGCATGGAAACTCAACAAAAACCCATGACGGAGACAGAGATGGAATGTGAGCAAACCCTATTCCGAAGAAGCTCGAAAATGGCCAGGTCGCCAATGGTTGAAAAACAAGCATCACAACGGAGTAACAGTGACTGCGAGCCACAAACAGAACTTGTCGACCTCACAGAAGAACTGGCCTGTGAAAAAGGAGACTCACACTTCCTCAAACTAGGAAGAAAAATAAAATCGCTAGTGGAAATGCTAGAAGAAAACGGCGGAAAAAGACGGTCAATCCATCAGCCAATGAGAGATGCCATCGAAAGTATTAGAGCCCTGGAACAGGAGAAACATCGTACGCAGAGCTACTGACCAGAGTCAAAAATGACCCCAAACTGGCAGAAATCGGCAAGGCGGTGTCCAGAATTAGAAGGACACAAAAGGGAGACCTCCTGCTTCAACTTAGTGAGACAGGAGCAAAAACGGCCGAGTTCCGGCAAAGCATCAGCGAAGCCCTAGGCCAGCAGGCGACGGTGAAAACCCTCACCCATCGCGTGTCCTTAGAAATAAGAGACATGGATGAGGTCACCACGAAAGAAGATATTTGTGCCGCAATTAAGGCCCAATTTAAAGTGGAAGAAGTGCCACCAGAGAAAATCTCTCTACGAAAGGCGTATGGAGGTACACAGACTGCGGTCTTCAGCCTTCCCGCAGAAGAAGCAAAAAAGCTCCAAGACGTGGGCAAAATAAAGATAGGATGGACTGTCAACCGTATCCGGGAGAAGACGGCAGTTACAAAATGTTTCAAGTGTCTTGAGTTTGGACATCTGGCCAAACAATGCAAGAATGAAGAAGACCGCTCGAAGCTCTGCAGAAGATGCGGGACCGAAGGTCACATAGCAAAGAATTGCAAAAATGAACTGTCATGCATGTTCTGTAGAAAAGACCCGGCAAACGACGCAAAACACGTAGCCGGCAGTGGCAAAGGCCCAGTGTTTAAAAAAATCTTAAACAAAAGAACATGAAAATTGTCCAAATAAATCTCAACCACTGTCAGACAGCTCAAGATATAGTGACAAAAATGATAAAAGACGAAGGGGCAGATGTAGCGCTGATAAGTGGTTATGTGACAAAGCAAAGAAAGCTGCCATATGGACATGCAACAAACATGCATTCCAAGAAATCGATGGAGAACATGAGGACTTCGTACGGGCTAAAGTGGGCGGTATAAATTTTTACAGCTGCTATGCACGACCAAGTATGACACCAGAAGAATATCAGACGATGCTAGATAACATAGCAAGAGACGCAACAAACAGAAACTCCATTGTCATCGGTGGAGACTTCAATGCTTGGGCAACAGAATGCGGAAGCAGGTACACGAATACTAGGGGCCAAATACTTCTAGAGACCTTCGCTACCCCAGATATAGTAATAGCCAACGAGGGTGATGCACTTACATATCGTAAGGCTGGGATGGGTTCCATCATTGACATCACACTAGTGAGCAACTCACTTGCAAACAAAACGAAGTGGCGGGTCAGCGAAGAGTACACGCACAGTGACCACCAGGCGGTCATAATAGAAATTAAAAAAGAAAAGTCAGTACAAGCCCCTAGACTCACGGGGCCAAAATGGAAAGACACACTCTTCGACAAAGAAACATTCGAATATATAATGGACACATTTAACCTGAGTCCAGGCCCCGTAGAAAACCGTTCGAAGCAGCTGATGCATTTCGTGGCCACAGCATGTGACGCATCCATGCCCAGACGAACAGCCAACGGGAAAAGACCACCGTGCTACTGGTGGAACGACGAAATCAAAAGACTAAGGGCCGCATGCCTACACGCCCGACGCATAGTTCAAAGATCAAGAAGAAGTCCAAACCTACAAGAACGGCTCACAACGTTCAGGAATTTAAGGCACGACCTAACGAAAGCCATCAAAGAAAGCAAGACCAGTCATCGTAGAGAAACACATAGAAGAAATCGAAGCAGTCGCGAACGAAGCAATTTCGCAAGTCAAGAGTTGGCTGGAAACTGCTGGCCTAGAGCTGGCAGAGCACAAAACGGAAGCAGTCCTAATCACGGGTCGTAAATCACTGGAGTATATGAAAATAAAAGTCGGCAACCAAATAATTAGCTCGAAAGACTCGATCAAATATCTAGGGGTCATGATAGACAACAGACTCCAGTTCAAGTCCCACGTCGAGTACATAAAGAATAAGGCAGCATCAACGCAAGCAGCGCTCTCTAGAATACTGCCAAATATCGGGGGTCCCAAATACGGTAGGAGAATTCTACTCTCAAGAGTAGTTAGCTCGATACTGCTCTATGCCGCTCTGGTGTGGGCAGCAGCACTGACGACTAAAGCAATAAGGAGAAATCTTGCAACCACATACAGACTCAGCGCACTGAGAACAATAAGTGGCTTCAGGACGATATCAGACGACGCGGCATTAGCTATAGCCGGGATGATGCCAGTGGATATACTGGCTGACGAAATGTGGAGAATCTACAACAGAAGAACCACAGACAAAAGCGAGTATAAACGCATTAAAAAAGAAGAAAGAACAACATCGATGGCCAAATGGCAGACTCGATGGGAAACCACAACAAAAGGCCGATGGACTTACAATCTAATACCGGCCATTGAGACATGGGTGAATCGGAAACAAGGGGACTGTAGTTACCAACTCACTCAGTTCCTTTCTGGTAATGAGGGGTATCGAAAATACCTCCACAAGTTTAAACACGAAAATTCTGCGGCATGTCCAACTTGTCCAGAACAAGAAGAAGACGCCGAAAAAAAACACACATACACACACATACACACACACACTGTAAAATCGGTTTTGGCCATGCCCCAAAACAACTTTCTCTCTCTCTCTCACTCTCTTTCAACTGTTTGACCTTAAATGATCAATCAACAGCTCTGCTTGCCATGTAGTTTTAAATGGTCAACGTTTCAGTGTATGATCTCTCTCTTGATCTCTCTTTTTTGATCTCTCTCTCTCTATCTCTCTCTCTCTCCTCTATTCTTGATCAACACAACAGCTCTGCTTGCCATGTAGTTTTATTAGCTAACATAATTAGATTGTAGTACGTATTTGAATAATCTTTTTTATCAGTTTTATAGTTGCACACTCTATCTTCATACTTAATGATTTGGTTGACTTCATGAACCTGTAATTTAAATTTATTGCGCTCCATTTTTAAAATTCGTGCATTATCAAAATCAAAGGAATGACCTGTATTAAACCTATGTGAGGCCAGAGCTGCAATTTTATTCTAATTAGCAGTGCCATCGTCAACTTTATCACATTCTTTATCATGTTGGCTAATCCTAATCGAAAGCTTCTGTATGGTTTCACCTATGTATTTTTTATCACAATCTTTACAAGGTATATCATAAACAACACCACTTTTTTCATTTTTTGGTAGTGAATGTTTCATATTAGCGAACATATTAGAAACTTTATTCACCGGTTTCATAGCAACTTTGACCTCCGGGACAAAAAATTCAATTGATTTAGCTAACGATTCTGTGAGACCCGGAACATAGGATATTGACGAACGAATAATATTCTGAGCTGGTGTATTGCACATAGTTGGTGTATCCACAGACAAAAAACGATAGCTATTACGACCAAACTGTCTATTAGTCTGTGAATGTATTAGATTGTTGTCATTACGAACTGATGAAATGAGTTTATTGATAACATTAGACGGAAAATTATTCTTCTTTAAAATCTCAGTGATACGATCGGATGATTTGGGGTGGGATGCTTCGTTGGATTCCTGCTGTAGGGAACATGATTTATGCCCCCGCTCCTTGCCGTCCGGAGCAAGTGTACTACATAACAACGGACAATTTTTCTGGGTGCCTATCATAAACGACACACCTTTTACGCTGTCAGATTGTGCTTGCGATGCGAAATTTGGCAATTGTTTAGTAAATGTTGGATTTCGAGGGGCTATTGTATGGGGTATATATGTTAGAGTCGTTGAAAAATGTATGCAAATTAATGGAAATACTGCTTTAGGATTGGAAAAACTGAATAATAATTTTCATCGTTGGTTCGCATAAGTTTAGTACGATTTCAACATCAGTTTTTGTTGGAAAAAAATAAATCAGTTTAGTTACGTTTACGCCGTCAATCAAAACAATTGTGTATTCTTTATTCTCCTTTGTTCTCTTCCATACTTTTAGTTTTATTAACTTGAATTAATAATTAATATAAAATTCGTAAGAATTGAATTTTCGACAATATTCTTTTAATTAAATTTCTTAAATTAAATTCGTTATATAGTCACTCAATATATAAATTGATTTAACAATTTATCAAACAAGACCAAATTATTGTATTGAGCAAAAACAAATTTTTTTTAATGCGAATAAATATAAATCTAAATCCATTCAATTATTAATCGGTATAAGAATTCCATCAAATCCAGACTGATATGTATAGAGTGGTCTTTCAATATAGCCGTATGGTAGTTCTATACTTTCTAGGTGTGATTTATGTTTTAGATATTCTTTGATATCGACCATAGTCCGTAGAAGAAATTTTACTAATTCATTTTCATTTTGCTCAAGCATTCTTCGTTCACGTTCGAATAAACACTTTATCTGAGCATCGAACATCTTTTCACACATCTTAGATATAATATTCGTAAGAATTGAATCTTCAATAATATTCAAAACTTCCACTGAAGTCATGTTGAAAATCTGTCCATATTTATCTGGATCAAATAAATCAGATAAAACAGCCCCTCGAGCCGCTTGCACAACACACAGATCTTCGCACAAATTTCTTGCCTGCAAATTTGTAATAAATATCATATCACATTTCGATTGTTGTTCAACCTAGGGGGTAGACACATGGAATATTACTTGAGATATTCACCGAAATTGAAGGTACTCTTGGTATTCTTGGTATTCTTGGTATTCTCAGTTTTAGACGAAATGTCAATGCATTCAGCAACGTCTCACAATGTGCATATATGAATATTATCTTCCAAATATTAAAAAAACTTTTTCAACGCTATTAAGTTTAGTATTTCAATTGGTTTAATAAATACAAAAACAATTTTGATAAAAATAGCAGAAAGAAAACGGAAAAAATTAAAATAAATTTCGAAATGGTGAATGTTAAAACGAAATGGAAGAAACTTGAAATCTTTATTACCGATATCAATTTGACATTTGGTAATCACGGTATTCACATTTTTAGTACAAGTAATCTTTAAATAAGTAAGTAATTGTCATATTTGAAAATAGATAGGTATTATGACAATTCATTGGTATTCATTCATTCTCTATTGTGTCTACCCCCTAGTGTTCAACCATTTGTTTCTTTAAAGAACTTACACCAAGCATTAGGGGAAGTTGACGAGAACAATCATTTCGATATTTGTTTAATGCTTGTAAAGATATCTTCACCTTGCCACCAAATGAACTTTCACAGCGATTCAAATGTTCATGAATTCTTCCGAAAGAGATGAATCGTCTATGCGAATTTCGTACGTAGATGCTGATTGCATTCCAAGCGTGAACATCAAGCGTAGACATGGCCAAAAGTTTGATATCAGCATTCAGTTTTGCTGTATAGATTTCGAAACAGAATTTCGGAAGGTCTTCTTCATCTACTTCATCTTCGGACTAAATTTAAAAATTTTGCAATAGTATGAATATGTTTCTATTTAATAATAAAAATAAGAATTTTATGCGAAAACTATAATTTTTTTAAAGTTTTGATCAACTCACTGTAAACCAACCTCCGCCTGACAATTGAATCACTTAGAATAAATCAACATTACTAGATAAATGTCTTCAAATGCGTTACTGAAAAAAGTCAGTCAGCAAAAGCGTTATAAAATATATGGACGATGTCACGCTTTTGTTGGCGAACTTTTTCATATAACGCGTCACATACAGTTTTTGACACTATTACTGACGTACTTTTTTCTATAACGCATTTGAAGACATTTATCTAGTAATGCTGATTTATTCTAGGCGGTTCAATTTTTTTTCGATTTTTTTTCTGAATATCCTGAAAAAAATCGATAAAAAATTCTCAAAATATTTGAAAAAAAAAAAAAAAAAAATTTGATTCGTCACACATTATAAAGAAATTACGTTATTAATTGTGACATTTGGGTGATAGTATGTAACCAAAACGCAACCAACAGCACAAAATATTACAGTAATGGAAATGGTATGAAAATGCATTTTTCAAAACACAAAATTCAATGGTGCACAATTAGTGTCTGAGTTTTAACTGTGAAATTTCGACGCAAAAGATGGTATTATTTATACAAAATAGGCACCAATATTTCTGAAGATAAGATAAGTGCATAATATTGAAACGAAAAATAAGTTGTACAAAGGTCAAGTTTACAAGATTTTACTAAACATTCCTTGATGTTATCCACACAATAGAAAATCAACATCATTTTGAGTTACTAGTTGCCAGTTCGTCAGTATGGAAAAACTCCGGTTGATAACGTCAAAAAAAAAAATTGTTTTGGGGCAATATTTATCATATTTTTTCTAAGAACTTCAGTTTAGTTTTATGCAATTGGATGTAATGCCCATCAGAAAATCATCCAAAAAATATTCTAGAAGTGATTGAATCGAATGAATTTCATTAAAATTCATTTCTTTTTCAAAACTTCGGGAAACGTAAACATTTTGAATAACAAACTTTTACGTTCGTTTTGAATTTTCAATGAATACCCTTTTTTATTTTAAATCCAAACTTCGACATAAACAAATTTTTAAGATTCTTTATTAACTGTAACCCTCAAATTGCTTGCAATCTCACATTTATATTGTCTATCAATGTTATTCCATGATCGGTCATATGCATGTATAAAATGAGTGATTTTTTGTGTTCGGTCTTGTGTTTCTTGAAACAAAAATTAATTCTATTAAAAAAAAAATGAATGCAAACAATTGAAAGTAATTTTGAAAATCCAGATGTGAATCGTGTCTTCTGTGTTTGACAACTGCTATTGAGGAAATGATTTTGTACTTATTTCTTTTTTATATAATAAAAGGTGTCTATTTTAGTTCAGTATTTATCTATCGTGGTGGACTTAACAATATTCGCAAAATAGCAAATATTTATATAAATTCCAATATTAATATGAATGGTGTGATGTAATTTAATGTAGTTAAAACGACTTAATTAGAGCAATTTAATTTTGCTCAAAGTCTTATTGTGGAAGTAGAGAAAACGTTGTGTACTTGATCGGGTTAATCGACCATTGCGTTTAATTGGAAGTTCACCCACCGTATGTCGATGTGGATTTCGTACTTTTAATTGGTGATGTGGACTCATCTTTGGACTTTGTTTTTGCAAAACCCATCTGTAATAGTGTTTTTGAAATGTTTAAGAAATAAATTATTTGCTATCCATTTTGTTATTAAATTAGCCCATAAATAATACCTTGACTACGATATAGGTAATGTAAGCCAAACTGAATACCAAAAGTAAGTGTGGTGGTGTTGCGGCTGTTTGTAGAAATGCAGCCAAAAACATCAATTGAATGTAAACTAATGTTGCGCTACCATATACAATAACAACCATTCCGATATTTTGTCTGAATATTTCAGAGTCTGTTGATCTCCATGATTTGAGTGGGCAAGTGCTACGTAAATGAATTAGATCGAAATCAGTGTTACATTTTAACCGTTTATCCTCGATTAAATCATTCAATTTGGTGACGTCTTTCGATGATACAGCCTCATTTTGCTTTTGTACTCGAACCACATAAGTATTTTCCAATTCAGCAGTGCCGGTAGTATGCGATGCCTTTTTCGGTGTCTATAATAATTGAGTAATTTTCTCGTTAGTTAATTAAAATGGTCAATAAATTATATAATTTAATTAGCTTACCTCAAATATAACATTGAATTTACTATATCGAATGAATGCAACAATACATACTAATATCACTGCGTACATCTTTTTGAATCTTGGCGATAATGTGTCCGTCGCATATTTTTCGAAGATAACCACTCGTTTTTGTTTATATAATTACAAGTCACGTGAGAAAAAAAATAAACGGCATTTGTAACATGTGAATAATTCGTTTCATTTATCCACCCTATGATCAGAACTTCCGATATAAAATGTGATTTTAATATTATACCTTCATTGTTCGAACATAATTCGTTTGAGCATTTCCAGATTTCATTTGAAAAATTGGTGTTTATTAATAGTTCAAGGTCTATGATACCTACACATCTTGCATTCTAAGAAAGTATCCAAGAAACATTCCAAAAATAAATGTGTTGAATCCAAAAGCTTCTGTGTCAACACCTTTTTTAATTACGCATCATCTGAATTTTTGTTTCTTAACTCTTGTCGTGTTTATTTTTGTTTGCTCGCGCAGATTATGTCATTGTCAAATCGTTTCTTTATTTTTGTTGCACGTTATATTTTCTCACAAAATTCCCAATACAATAAACGCATTTTGAATTTTACGATCGATTAACCAATGGATTGGCACTAGAAAGCGTTGTCCCCCTGTTCTCTAGTGGTTTTTCTCGTATTTCGTTCAGATTTTTTGAAAATTGATTTTTTTTTTGTTTTTTCAAAAAATAACCGCATGATCATCAATTCGCTTTTTAAAAAGTTGGCTCTTTAAATAATCTAGTTGTTAACTTTTTCCCCAAAATTTCGGATTGTCTTCGAAACTTTGAAAAAGATTGCATTACACAGTAATTACTTTTGTTTATCTTGAAGTGTGAATTGAGTCAATTCAATTGACGTCATGGCAATATCTCAAGAAAGTACTTTTCTCAAATGGATTTGTTAATATGACATTTTAGTTGTACATAATACCTTTTTTCTGCGCGTCATTACTGATAAGACGCATAATTTCATCGAATTTACGTCTACTGTTTTAAATGTTACAAATCAGAAAATCGAATTTAGTCGTCAAAATAAAATAAGGATTGATTTCCCAGATAATTATATAAAAAATCAAGTCAATTTACTGGTTAAGTCAAATAAGGAATAGATTCCATGAAATCTAATAGACGATGAAAACGATTAGCAAAATGAAAGACTTCTTCAAATTTTAAGTAGAATAATTTAAACAAACATGATCGAACATAAAATCATGTATATGTATAGGCCTGCTGAATGTGTATGTATATATGTCCAAATGTAATTGGTTGAATCATTGACAACTTGGTCAAGTTGTTACTTTAGCAAAGAGTATAAATATTTGATTATTTCACGAATTTTACAAAGATTTTGTTTCAAATGTGTGCCTTTGGTATTTTGATATGAATCAAAATAAAAATAAATACATCGGTCTGGAAACCGAATTTGATTTGAATGTTTAATGTTGTCGACGATCAACATTATTTTTTATATATTTTATTTTTCATGTTAAAATTGTTTTGTTTGATATCATCTTATATTTATGCATAAATAATGAGAATGACATGAAGGTGCTGGTGAATTATGTTCGTGAGCCGGTTTCCATAACGACCTTTTACCCATGGTTTTTTGATCATTTCATTTTATCAAGCTCTAAATCAACTGGAAGTGGGAATGATGTAGGATCTTTTTTTCTTTCTCTCGATATTTCCCGGATTTACATTTTTTTTTATGCAAACGATTCAATATTCTTTGTGTGTTAATGTCAAATTGGCATGGAGAATTTTAAATCTTTTCATATGATTTGTCCCATCAATGAACTTCCAACAAAGTCGAATGGTTACTGGTTCCGAATAACATCACATGACGTAAGATGTACATATTTTATTTGAAAAGGAACAAAAAATGTTCTCGTCACGTTATTATCAACTTATTTTATAAAAAAACAATTTGTCTCTTTTTAATGTGGCGATTTTTATCAAAAGAGCAAATTTTTAGAAAGCTCATCAGAGCCAATTCTAGCGAGCTTTGATCAATTTTATCGTATTTCATCTGATATTATTATAATCTGTGAGTTCGAAGATGTATGACTTTTTATAGTTTTTCCGCTCGTGAATTATGCGTAACAGATAAATGTCAACTGTCTTCCGAAAAAACTATAGAATTAGATAATTTTACTGAAGACATTCAATGTGTAACAAGTTACCGAAAAAGGTGTACAAAGAACATACATTCTTTTCGAACTTACTAATAGAATATGATTAACGAACAGCTGTAAAAAATATGTAACCAGTTTTATACCTTCTTTTGTTTATTTGTTTTTCTTTTCTATTGACCAACATTATACCTTGAGATATAACAAAAATAATAATGTTTTTTCAGCGTTTTGTTTTCAGCTTGAAGATGAATAATCGATTCTCAATGCGGACATTGCCGTTAGTAATACTAAGTCTTCTCCGCATAAAGTATGATTTCGAGAAAACTGCGATACGCGTTAAACATGAATCTTTTCTCTTTCTTATAATAATAAGAAGAAAAACAAGCAGAATTACGCTTTGCACATCGATTGACGAGCGCAAATTTATTAAAAATTGACTAATAAATCTTATATATAAATACGCTAAGCAAAAAAGTTTTGTACCTCTCCTGCCCACAATTTTGATCAATTTTAAGCATACCGTTGGAAAGGTATTGACGAGGAATGTGTGCATCAAAGCTTAAAATTTCGATCCGATCAAAATTGTGGCCAGGAGAGCGAAAAATGTTCATACATGAATTTGGAATAAAATATGTGTAAACACGCTCGCACATTGCACATTGCGTGAACCACAAATCGTAGTTGCTGTGTATCTTTCTGAAGAACAAATCAATTCGCACTTGCCATATGTTCAGTGTGAATTGATATGGGTAACGAAAGAAACACAACAACAACGATATATGGTTCTCGACCACACAAAAAAAATTCGTAGGTCGCTAGGCGATTTTACTTCGCTCTCTCTCTCTCTCTCTCTCTTTTTTTCATTCCCACCCTATATCATATACACAGAAAAAGAAAGAGAAAGACAAATAGAGAGAAAATGAGATAGAGAGAGAAGGAAAGAGAGAGGAAAACGAAACAAAAGGGAGCACATCACACAATTCTTCTTTCAATGCCTCAATTTTGATATTTTTAGTGATTTGCGGCCAACGATAAGAGATACGATATCGATTTGAACCGCCAGAGTTGTAGTCTTTGACATGACCGATAATTTGGCCACGATCGGAGGTCCCGAAAACGAAACAAAAGGGGGTATCGTGTACCCTGTATAGTATCGGTTGTGTTGTACGTTTGATGTATTTTAGTAATTTGGAATAAATTTATT